AGTGGCGATACTCACTGAAGATGTCGGTCAGGCATTTGGGAATGTCCCACATCCACGGTTCAACTTTGGAAATGATCATGCAGACAATAGACTCCGGACTAGGTGAGTTCCTCTAACTATTCCTACCATGTTGCGAAAACAAGTACAAACAACCTCTATACAACGAAAGGAGACTGCGACTACACAAAAGGCCACACCATCTTGGTCTTCATATCTTCGATTAAAATGTATACAGTTGCAGTGATCTTGTTCAGACTTACTTTTGCAGCTGATAATTGCAAACAAGATGAACAGAAGGGCGTTCTTCCTCCATTTATTTGCCAAGGCTAGCCCTATAAGGTTGCATCCCTTACGGAAAGCCTTGGTGCGCATAACTGAGGCTTCTCATGTGTCTCACAAATTTAACTGAATAATCAGTAAGTCCATTAAGTCAAGAAAGTGTGTGTAACATGTACATAGCGCTTAAACCCTCACTCTGTCGGGCTCAGCCTTCCGTTTTGTTCTTTCTTTAGACTTAACTATGTAGGGCGATGTCTTGCAGCTTTGGTTTCAAGCCTAGAAATCTTTCGGCGGACACTCCCCGTCTCATGCCTCTCACCAACTCCAGCCAAGATCATGTGTCCCTCTTTTAGGAATATGGAGAAAGCCTCAGCCACCGCCACTTGTGTTGGGCTCAGAACTTCTTACTTAATTTGTCAGGCACAGGATCACGTGACAAAATTTGCCCCTAATTGGTTTCATATAGATAAGTTACAAGGGTGCTAATGCTGCGTGCAAAAGCAAGGTCACGGCCTCTGAACCAAGCGCTGATGGCCATAATTTCTGTGAAATATCTCAAGCGATCTTATCTAAGCTTTGGAAAAACCAGTACAAGATAGAGCACCTGGCAATGCGTCCTCCGTCGTATTCATTGTATGGGGGAGATTTCCTTGCATAGCAAATAGTTACGCTCCGGGTCCATGTCCAGTCGGTTGATGACTGGGAGGAAACCCAGGGACGAGGGGACCAGTAATCTTCGATTTGCGAATATGACCTGTATCCTCTAAAATTTTCGTTGTAGTCCTCACTGCCTAGACCTCTTCCAGCACATGATTGAAGGAATTGAAGTTAAACGAAATATGACTTACTCAGCCTTCGTAGGCAATGCTTTGCACGAGCATTTTATGTTAAATTCTAATCAAAAGCTGTCTTCTAAACAAGACTTGGCTGTTCTCTTATTGGGAAATGGTCTAGTCAGGCTGGGCTTGATCAAGATAACACGGCAAGCCGTTGATATAGTATCCACCATACAGACGGCGTGGCAGTCTTCATGACTAAAGAGCTGTGCCTATTTATGATTTTTGCATGGATATTGTATGTAGACGCCGCGAAAGAGGGCCTTGTGTCAAATGTTGATCAAGCTGACGACTCGAAACTGGCGCCTTATTTTCCATCCGACGGCCTTGGCATAGAGCTGGCTTTACTCTGAGCCTCATTCTTTGCTATGATGACTCTTGAATTCCCTTTTGTGTTCCTTCTTCTGTTGGGTGCCAGAAGTCTCGTCAACCCTCTTTTTCCCTCATCAGGTCGAATTCAGAGTGTTGCCCCTCTACTCCAGCCCACTGGTAACGCTGCCTAAACATGATCCGATTTGGCCTCGTGTGAGGAATCTAAGGTTCCCCAGGCCTCGATTTCACCCTAGACTGGATGAGGCATAGTTGTTAGTTGCTCTGTGTTTTAATGGTTCACCGATCTCCGGATAACTCGCCTGGGGCCGGTACTTCTGCAGCGTGACTCTTCAAGCGTCTGCTCGCTCCATTGGCTCGCGTTCTACCCTGGCCTCGTACCCATCTTGCGAAATGCCGAATGTCCTGGTCTTCATATCTGCTGCTGTGCCGGCGCTCAGGAAACCCTGCAGTCCCAGAGTGAAAGTCAGATTTGGAGGAGAATACGAATCGCTTGTTAAGCTACTCGGGCCGAGGCCGTCTTTTTTCGGACTGTCCGGCACCTCAGTCATCGGTACATACGGGACACTGGGCAACTGGACAAGATGGCTCGTCTTCATCTCGGCATTGCAGGTCAGGTTGCGATAGAAGGGGTGCAGACAGACGGTGTTTCGCGCCACCCGAAGGTCACGTATCTGCATGTTCATCACCTTGGCCGAGGAGGCGAGCAGACAGACGAGCACGACGACGTTGAGCCAGTCGAGCAGATCGACGAAGAGCCGGGTCCGCTGGAGTACCTGAATGGCACACTTGTCGATCTGCTCGAGTTGATACCCCTCCGAGGTTGTGCATCGGACGTGGACGCCCGGAAGCAGGTTGCAACAGGCCAGCGGTGTCCATTGCTGCATGAATCTGGCGCCCGCTTGACGCGTTTGGAGCATCAGTTCGGTGTATGTGCAGCACTTGACAATCTGCTCCCGCAGTTGCCTGCTTTGCCTCGCCTTCAACCACATGTCCTCCACAGCGTCACTAAGGACCGGCAGATGCGTCAGTTCCAAGGTGTTTGGGCTGAAGTTGGTCTCTCTTGTTGCCAGTAGCACGAGGATGCTGAAAAGTGTGATGCCGGCGATCAGGCAGCCGTGGACGAGGACGCTGGTTGAGCCGTGCTTTTTCATGTGGTGCAGCTTAAACGAGGCGACAAGAAGGAAGAGATAAGCGCCCAGCAGTAGGAAGTTGAATACAACCACCTGCCCCAGCACCTGAGCTCCGAAGACCTCTGAGAAGAAGAAACAGTAGGTGACAGAAATCAGTGCAATTACTGTACCCGCCAGCAGAGCGAGGCGCTCTGCGAGCACAGTCACCACGTCGGACACGCGCCGTTGCATCCGGACGGGATTCTGGTGCAAGTGGTAGTGTGCTTTTAAATGGACCGATCAATTGACACACTTTGCCGTTTACTCGCTCGCGGCTCTCCCGGCATCCTCGCCGAGGAGTGCTCTCTGCACCCTTTTCGTTGGATTCTGGCCAGAATGGTCACAAGGCGCCATGTACTGTTGACCGCGATCATCATGAATTTGATTGCCAATGCATTTAACGATGTACCTGAGCAACTTCCCTTTTCAGCCTTGCGTTAAATTTGTTTGGAGCATAAATTAGAAAATAAATTGTGTACCAACTTACAAACGTGTGGTTCACCATTGAACCTAATCAAAGCAAGCAGTACAACAACATTTGTGACTAAGGCATAGCAAGTCATAGTCTCAGTATTAGGGATAGAAATAGGATGGACACGGCGGAGACCGGAGCTAGTTGGCTGACAGTAGTCCTGTTCGAGCATAAACGTGGTCCATGTAGCAAAGGATTGGTGATGAGATGTATTCACAAGCTTTCACCTCGAATAAGTCACCCAGACGCAGGGGAGGGCGAATAACACCTCGAGTAGCACAGATGGGCTGGCAGGGGTCGAGTGAAATACGTGAATCAGAGAGTGAGAAGACGGAGTGATAAGACCTAGGGCTTGAATGAGCACACAACACTACATTTAAACAAGCACGGTTAAAATTGAAACAGTGAAGGCGTGATAAGAGGATATAGGAAATGTAAATAGCTCAGGGCAGAAGGGACGATACCACAACTGTTTAGCACAGGTTTGGTCAAGGGATCGGGTTCATTTGTCTTTTTTGACGAGTTGTTGTGTGGTGCTAAGAATGGCGAGACTTACTGACGTTGCCAGCGAAACGGCTGGGAATGTATCACATCCACGGTCCTACTCTGGAAATGATGATGCATACAATGGACTCCGGACAAAGTGCGTTCCTCTAAGTCTTCATACCAATGTGACCAAGTTGCGAAAACAAAGTCAAACAACTTCTATACATTACTTTGTTGTTTTAGCTTTCATGTCATGTGGCAGGTCGATCACACCATAATACAAAGGAACCCTCTTGCTCTGCAGTCCTTTGATATATTTTGGTTGATTCAATCTACAATAGGGCAATTGGACAGAACTTCCTTTCGTCTCGAGATAGACATCATCCACAATGTTGTGCAAAAGTCTTGATGTTGGCTTGCAGTCTCCGAGAATAACGCTCAGCTCTGAGGATGTCATACGAAAACTCAGCCCCATTTCCCCAGACGCGAAGGGAGGTGTCCTTCTGACGTCAATCTGAACTTCAGCTGACATATTCAGTGATCGTAAAGCGACAGGAATATAGCGTCAACCTATGAATGTCTTCACCATATGGTATCGCATTGGCAATACGATATAACCTCAGGCGACTCATTAAAACTCAGCTACACTTCACTTATTCTTCTAATCTCACTGAACGTAGGTTGACTTTTGTTCAATATTCAACGGCGCAAGTGATTCCGCCTGTATTTAGATGTATTCACCCTATTTCGTCTAAGGTAATGAAGGACTGGTAGTAGAATTTTCCCAAAATGATATGAGTTGAGCTGACATTTTCATTGAATTTCACATAGCCTTGTTTTCCCAAAAGTTGTATTTAGTCAAATGAATGGGGACTTTTTGTTTATCGTAGAGACTGGTAGAGACTGATATGGCCAAATCTCGAGAATAGCTCTTGGCTAGCGAATAAAAATAGGCCGGAAGTCCATTAGGATTCTCATAATCCAACTCTAGATACGGGCAACTGTGTCACAATACACGGAAATTGAGGATCACGAAAAATTGCATACAACAGAATGATTCAAGCGTGAGCTGTAAG